TTTGGGGATGCTCTCTGGAAATCGGTCATCCGACCTTCTCTAGCACACGGATGTGTCGTATGGCTACCGTCATCCGCTTCAGGTCAACAAATACTTGAAACATGGTAATATAAAACGGCGAAACTAATTTTTAATACTAAGAAGAATATCCCAAAAGCTGCCCATTTCCTAGACTTGGGATGGGAGCCTATAAACGTTTTTCTTGATAGACAAAGGGTGTCTTATTTTGCTAGGATTCAAGGCCTTGACACAAGTAAACTGTGTCGACTTGCATTTGAACAGTTTAAGTCCCTAACGCTTCAAAGGGGGTGGGATTATCCACAATATATGATAAATTTATTTAATATGGTTGGTCTGGATCACTTCTACAACTCGAATGTTAACTCTAATTTATTTAAACAGTTTCTTGGAAGGTTTGTTCGTAGAAGGTAATATCAAGAAATAAATGATAAAAGCAGTCTAGATATTTTCTCCAAATTTTAGTTTGCACAAGGAAGGCAACCCTATCTGTCGAACTTGCTGGACTTAAATTAAGTCTGCAAGACTAAAATTGTTAACATGTACAAATTGTTTACCTGTGAACAAGTCTTGCAAAGGATGAATCTTAGCGAGAGTCCCACTTGCCAAATATGTTTATGTAATTCTGACGAGTCTATTGAACATTTCCTTCAAGAGTGTTCTGGCTTTTCTTCAATCCGAAATAAATACTTAACTGATATAAATGAATATCCAAGTTTTACTTTTATGGGCCTCTGCTTCACAGAGTTATCGTCCTACGATAAAATATTTTTATCAGGTTGATCCTTATATCAGTAATACTTTGGACAGTTTAAGTAAGAAAATGTTGAGCGAAATGTACTCTCAGAGATCTTTGGTTTTGGAACCTAAACTTTAAATGTTTTTTGTTTATGTAATACGTTTTACGTAACTCTTAGTTTAGTTCATATTTTTATATTGTACATAAGGTGTACTTTTCTTATGTAAGATGTCTTATTTTATAATGTACCAATTTTTAACTCTGAAAATGACATATGAATATGTTTACTTGTCTGTATATATTCATTGTATATGCTGTTAGCTGCATTTGTGGATATCCCGTCCGCAAGTGCCCCCGTTGTAAAGGAGTAGTTTCTACCAGTGTCTGAGCAGAAAGTTAATGAACCAGGGGTATGTCAAAGAACGTCTCGTCCTTTTTCTAAAAAAGTTCATCGGAAGGTACCAAGACCTTGTTGATAAATATTCCGTATCAACTTCACAAATAATACATGATGGTCTTGAAGTATAGATTCTGCATACTGACGTTGTTTATCATCTTAACAACGTGTAATATTGTTCTTTCATTTGTCTTTGTTCTATTATTAATATTACTTTTACTGTTTGGTTTGTTTTCTGTGATATCCATTTGACGTGGCTAGGTACTTATACATCCCGTCAATGTGTTTGTATTATCTTTCATTTTTGCTGGTGTGTTTTGTATATGCGACTTTTTGTGTTTACGTGGTTCTTATAACTTGACTCTGTACTTTAAAAGATCCCGTCATTATGTTATTGTTCTATTATATGTCATTATGTTATTGTTCTATTATAAATTTGATAATACTTTGAACGACAAACGACAAATTTATTTTACTCGCGTAGTGGTATTTACCATATGTGGATTCTTTAAAATTCTAAAGAACTTCTGGACAATTTTAAATCTCGGTCTATTTCTGAAATTAATTCTAACATAATTTTTGATTTTTTAACCCTGTATACCAACATTCCCCATGTGAAATTATAAAATTGTTTTGAATAAACATTGAATGACAAAATTTTTTTCTTATGTGACGTTTACATTTTCTGACGTCAGACACGCGAAGCAATGAATGTGGTTTTTAATTTGATAGATGCTTTTGTGCTTTTTTTGTAAATAATTGTTTGTTTTGATATTGTAACACAGTGATGACTGCTGTACCCATATTTTGACTATTTTATTTATAATGTCTGTTTTGTTCACACATCGTTGTAAATATAACGGAATTTGATAAGACTGTCGTACAAGTGAGAGGTTTAGCGCTATAAAACCAGGTTCAATCCACCATTTTCTACATTTGAAAATGCCTGTACCAAGTCAGGAATATGACAGTTGTTGTCCATTCGTTTGATGTGTTTTGTCATTTGATTTTGCCATGTGATTAGGGACTTTCCGATTGAATTTTCCTCGGAGTTCAGTATTTTTGTGATTTTACTTTTTTCTAAATAAATATATATATATATATACATTATATTTCTTGTACAACTCTCCACATTATCTAAAACAAATTTCGATGCTTCTCTTTCGAATAACAAAATCAAACTAAATATTAAAAATCAAGAAAAACTACTAGGTTTATAAAGTTCAATAAGTTTTTTGTAATATTTGTGAATGAGATAGTTCGTAAAAAAGTTCTTTAAATACAATTACGTAACACATTAATTTTGATCTTGTTACGTACTATTGAATTGATTTCATTTTATGTCAGCATATTCTTTTAAAAGTCGAATGAAAGACAAATATAATGCATTTTAATTGAATTTTAACAAAATATGTTTACTTGTCTGGATGAATGTTATTTTGTTTGGAAAATGAGAGACTTTTGATTATTACGAATATAGGTAAAAATTAATAAAAATCACGATTCATTTTGCTTATACTCAGTGAAGTTACATATTATATAAAGTGTTATTTGGTTAAGATTTTGGGTATTGCTAGAAAACAAAAAGAAGCTTACTTATTTTCTTAGTTCTATTTATTAGAAGACACATTTTTCAGATTAGGTTCATTCATTCACGATTTTGATTTATTCATATACAATTGTGATTATAATTATTCACATGTATGTAATCAGAACAGTTCATTCAGCATCAGTTTTATTTTACGATCACTGTCTTTGTCAAAGCATATCTATAAATAACTTTTCTTAATTTTTTTCATATTATGTTAATGAAATCACTTCATAATTATTTTATAAATTTGTTCATATCTAAATTTAACAGTTTAACTTGATTATTTTGCTTGTAATGTGCGTCTATGAAAAATGTATGTGAAGTTAGCGGTCGGTTCGTTATTCGTTATTCGATATTCAACATCCAACCGGCTGCTAGCAGTCGGTTCGATATTCATATTTTCTCATATATATAATAAGTTAAAAGTAATAAAAATATAAATATTCGGTAACATTAAAAGCATGATAGTCATAGTTAAAAGGAGCAAAAAGAGATGATACAAAATGGGCGGAGTTTAAACTGACTCACACATACGTATAATAATGAATAACCTCTTAATCGTGTCTACAATATAACATGTACGTTTGTACTATTATCGATCCTAATTTTACTTCCACCCACTACAGACTAAAAATATATAAAAACAGGAAGGAAACATCTATTATGTCTAATGTAGACTGTTTGTATTTACATGTAGTAAATAAACAACTTAATTTTACAATTCAACTAGATACACGTACAAGTTCTATATTTGTACACATCCAATCTACAAGCTAAAATCTTAATATATAAAGAAAAAAATGCAAAACAAATGAACGCAACAGTACTTGAACTTGAAGAAAAAAATAATTTTGCGAAGATCATCATTCATTTTTTAAAATCTATTTCTAAACGGAAATTAATGATATAAACTATTCTTCTACAGCTGTTTCCAGATAGATGATGCGTTGTCCTTACTTTAATATTCGATGAAGATAAAGAACATCGAATTTAAAGTAAGCGGCTATGCATTTTGTCATTTTCTACCATATCAGATTTTTTCTTTTTTTCTACAATGTTGATGCATAAAAATAAAGATTAATTTATAAATTTCGTGCGTCCGAAGCCCTAATTTAAACAAAATAAAACTAAAAAAGGCCAAGAGAGACCGAAAAAGTCTCACCAAGGCAATTTATGGCCAAGTTTGTGGTTATTGTAGTTTGTGTACCATTTTATACAGTAATTCTCTTCAATAGTCTTCATTGACATATCTATATCAAGCCAAAATTGTTCTTTGTCGGAAAAACCCTGTTTATAACTTCAGCCTATGTGGAAAAGGCGTACATGTAAAGCTTTTCCTTCGCTCAAAGTTCTTGATAAATATTAGAAAGATATGAAATCAAAAATTGTTTTATAACCTTATATCTTATTCTAATTTCAGATTTATTTTTCTTTTTACGTTAACTAATGAACAGATGGGTGTTGTTAGTAGTTTGGTTTCAAAATTGGATTTACTTCTTTTAGAATTGCGAGAGTCACGAAATGAAAAATTATATGCATATGTACAAAACAAACTGGCCTGCTCAATAACCAATGCCATGACGTTATGTAATTTTTGAGATTCAATTTGTGGGTTTTTAAACAACTCCTTAACGCGATCTCAGAACAATTATGTATATATAACTTTTGTTTAAATTACTATGAAATAGAGTGTATGCTCCTATATACTTTCAGTAGTTTTAATTTTAGATATATTTTGTGAAAGTTTGTTCTCACCGGATTCAAATTAATAAAAAATGTACATGTATTTGGATCCAACTTTTTCTGTAATACTATTTATATAGCTGAAATGCTTTATAATCTTTCATTTTGACTGAATATTTAATATTAGAAAATCATACTTAAAAATTAAGATATTAAATCCTTGTTTAATATTAAAAAATCCACATCTGTGTCATTTGAGTAATGGAGCTGGTTCTTTGTAATATCGAGTATTCCTAAATCTGAACATTATTAAATATATTCATGTACCATTATATGTTATGGATTCGTAATAAATTTTTTAAAAAAATGTGTTAAAGCTCAGTTACTGAAAATAATTAGAAATCTCAATTCAACAGATAATGGAACCATGTACCTTAGCGATATAACTTTAATTAATACATTTCATATATGACTGCACAATTTTTTTTTATCAAAGTAATAAATCTACCATATCGTTTTCAGCGTATTCAGAATTAATTTAGATTTCTATCCTTGCTATTTAAAGATGAAATTCTATTGCCCTGATCTTTTTAGTGTCGTTGTATTTCAACATGGCAGTAGGAAAAGAAAAATGCTTGGAGATTGTAAAAGCAAACTTGCTGGTATTTTTTACCTTATTCGGCGCTGCAGTAGGATTTATTATAGGTGTGGTTGTTCGGAATACAAACCCAACAGACAGCACTCTCATGTGGGTTGGTAAGTAAATTATAGTAACTCTTGTATTTTGTTTTGACCAATGCAAAAACAAACAACAAAATTTTCAGTTTTTTCAGACTCTGAACAAAACCTAAGCTTTAAAACAAATAGAAAACAGTTATATTTATATTTACATAGAAGTGTTCTCATTTATCAGCATAAAGTCCAGATTTTTGCAATTAAAACAGAAAAAGACAATATATTACAGAGATTCATATTGCAAGACAAAAGCAGTGCTAAGGTATCAATTTGATGACAGAAAACTAGACGCAATTAAGATTTCATTCCAAATCCAACTACAAAACATCTTCTGAAAGTGTTAATGCATATAATGTCATTGTCCAACTAGCTGCTCCATGTTGTTTAAATCTAAATGAATTGAGTTTCTTTTTTTTTTAGCAAATGATGGACTTTTGTCAAGAATCTTGTTTACATAGTGCTATTGCACATCTTCTTTTTTCTTTGTTATTTTCTTTTTATTTTCTTTTATTTTATTTTTTTTTAGGGGGGGGGGTCACCTTTCAAACATTATCGCAGCCTTATTTATTGTGACGCAGAGCGAGTGTAGGAAATTGTGAGCACCCTCACAATATTTCAATATTTCCAGTTAAAGCTTATGGCTTGACAGCCAGTAGAAAACAATATTACCTTATCAAATCACACAATAATAGTTAGTATTTTGTTTTGTTACTCTTTCTCGTTTGTAGAGTGAAAATAAATTTGAAGTAGAGAGTTTGGCATCTAGTAAGAATAAGTGGTACATTTTAATATTTATGTTTAAAACAATATTTGAGAATGTATAAAAAAAAATGTTTGCTCATTAAATGTACTTAACATATCTGGTTACGAAATGTATAACAACTTATTATTAAAGCTTTAATTTGTGTTTGTAGGTATCTTAGGAGAGATTTTCCTAAACATGCTGAAAATGATGATAGTTCCTCTGATAGTAGCCTCAGTAATAACAGGTAAGCAGGTTGAACGATTGTGATTACAGGTGGGACTTTTTTTAATTTTGAAATAAAAGTGAAAAAATAGGAAAGGCCCAATCAACTCTTCAAATAAAAGACTTAATAGATGACAACCATGTACTGACGAGTTTCCTGATAGGTTCATCTTTGAGGAGTTTTATCATGAACATATGACGGGGTTAAGCATTCTGATGATTCTAAATGGTTTTTGTTCTCACATATTTTATAATGTGTGTCTTCCGTAGTATGGAAATTACTATTCAAAACGTGAGTCATAAATAATATGATTATAAATATGTCCTTCTTGGTGTTCAACGTTTGTATTAGGTTTTGTACTCTCAAATATTTTGACCTGAACATCACGGAAGAGACTTGTTGAAAAGTGAATTTGGTGCATTGAAATTTGAACCGTTAATGTTATTTATGCAATTTGCCAGATTCCGGGGATGTTTTATGGTTAACTGTTTAGAAGTGAAATTTTAGTTGCGTATTTTGACTGCCATTAAACTGATTTCGTTATAACTCCTTTACTGGACATGCATAGAGTAGTCATTGGATAATTATTCATTGTTTTATTCATGGTTCAATTGCCAAACCAGCTTCTTTTGACGATAAATGTAAACGAAAGTGTAAAATAACCTTGCTTAGTTAAAATATAAAATAATGAGATGAGGTATAACTGCTAATGAGACAACCTTCCCCCAAAGACCATTTGACGTAGACGTTAGCAACTATAGGTCACAAGTACGGTCTTCAAAATTGAGCCAAAACCTTAATCGCAAGTACTTAAAAGCCCCGACATGGAAAATGCTAATAGAAATTCAGACGAAAAAACTAACGGCCAGATTTATGAACAAAACAATAAACCAAGGTAATACAACCTCCTTGAACAAACGAAAAACAAATATGATATACAGCAACAAACGACAACCACCAAATTTCACTCATGATTATAGACAGACACAAAAAGAATGTGGTACATGAAGAGACTTACTTTTCTTAAATTTTATTTATTTATTATTGTACTTCATTTGATTGAACAGGAACAGCTACCCTAGACCCTAAATCAAATGGAAAAATTAGCTTAGTTAGTTTGGGTTATATTATGTTAACAAATTTCCTTGGATGCTTCGTTGGTAGTTTACTTTGCGTGATCATCCGACCAGGTAAGATATTCATATCATAGTCATATAATACTTCACGCAAATAATTTAGACTATTAAAAAACAAACAAGCTGTATAATTTCACACTTGTTGATTCGCAATGAGCAAAAGCAAAAGTACTTTATATCTATTTAAGTTCAACGAAGTGTGTACTTGTAACCATTTTAATCCGTTAGTCATTAATTTTTTAATTTTCTAAAGTATGCTGTACTTGGGGTAAATTGTAACCTCTCCTAAAATCTGTCATATGCTTTACATTTCCCGAGATATCCAATTTTGAAAATAAGCAACATGTTTAACCGGCATCATTGATAGAATAAATACATGTTCAATACGTCAAAAACCTATAACCCCGATAAATCCGATTCTGGTATATTTTTATTTGTCAATAAATGGCTATTTTCTAACCTCAAGTTTACTGGTCTAATACAGTCTTGAATAGTGTGTTTTGTGCTTTAATTACAGGTGAAATCGCTAAAACAGAAGTTAAAGCATTTAACTCGGTTCCTTTAGAAACGGAGGACATTTTCGCTGATTTACTGAGGTAAAATAAGTAGCGATCTAGACTTACCTTTTTATAATGCATTTTTATTGTAGACAGGCATTCTTACACTTGAGTACAAATAAATTTTCAAACATCTTATAAGAAGGGTGTAATTAGTTTATTGTCGACTAATACACACTTCTATAAACTTATAATGGATAACAGTTTGTTATCCGAAAATGTATTGGTTAGTTCTAGTGGATTAAATAAAGCAACACTGTTGCAAAAATAAGAAGATACCAAGCGGACAGTCAAAACAATCGAAGCAGGAAAGACGACACTATTACAGACGACAATGTAAACAACAGTACGCAAAACACTACAATAAACTAAAGATTGAGCAACTCAAATACCATCAAAACCAGATTGAATTCCTGTGTAAATGAAAACCTGTTTAATTGTCGAAATGCTTATCTGATGCAGTAAAATTGACACCATTTAATGTTATTACTACCACTAGGACATTAATGTATCAGTAGCTCAGTACTTCGGTATGTTCATGAAAATATGGATATTGTTCTATTTAAATGTTTTGTTACACGTTATGCGCACCTGGTGTAGTTAAGGTGTTACCACTAATAACACATGTAACATTTGACCTTTGTTATTGTATAAGAAAAGTTGACCTTAGATGGATTTGGCTATTTTTTTTTTCTCCTTTTAAGTCATATGACTCTTCAACTGTTTCAGTTCTTATACATCCTTGGCTTTCAAATATAGGTAAATCCAGAAAAGCGATTCAGACGCATTAAATTTATAACGTGTTGTTTTCATTTTTTGTATAGGAGTTTACTTTCAAATAACGAATTTACCATGGCAAGTATATTTTAGGTATATTATAACGTCAAATACAAGTTAAAATGATTGTATCCAAATTTTTTTTTTTATTTAATTTCAAAAGTTAAATTGTCGACAGGAATGCATATGTATAGAGCATCTGAAAAAACATCTAAATATTTCAATCCTTATCAATACCCTGTACAAATACAACAACACGTACAATGAAAAAAAACTCCAAACAAAAGCATGAGAGTTTACTCTCCATACACTAATAGCCAACTGATTTCATGTACTTTTCTTAAAAAAAACATTATACAGAGGTAGATCAACGGCCTGATTGAAAATCATATTTGATTTTTATTATTATTATCAGTATTAGTAGTGGTAGTGGTAGTTATAATGTGGTTGTTGATGTAATTATTGTAAAGGTGAAATACTATATGGTAATGTATCACGCCTTTTTAAACATAATCAACATCGATTTTAACATGTACTATACTGAATACGAGTGTTGTTGGGTTGCTGAAGTATACCCGACGTCTTATTTCATCAAAATTTTGCAAATATTGTTTAAATATTCCAGGCATTATACATGGACTGTTATTTTTCATATTCTTATAACATACTACGGCTGTTGAGGACACTTTTATCCAATCTCTTTTTATTAATCGATATATCAAATATCTGATTTTCGTTTTACAGAAATATATTCCCCGACAATTTGATATCTGCAACTTTTCGCAAGGTAAGCTATTTACAGAGTTTTAAAATCTGAAACACCATTTTTTATAATGTGATGTTGCAGAAGCGCGATCAACTTTGTGTTGCGTGTCTCTAACTAACAATATATAGGTACAGATGAATTATTATTAAATGGGACATAGAAACAAGTCTTTAAACAAAAATCTGTTGTTTATTTCATCTTAAAATATTATTCAATTTGCAATTCATCATCTTCTCGAAACAAAGTTGCCGAAGGACTATATATAAGTTTGCCATTCCCTTATTTCTGTTTAATATATTTAGCCCATCCATAAGAGTTGTACTTCTTTAAAGCTGTTCTCATCATAGTAAAACATTAATAGATATTTTAGGGATAAGAGTAAAATGCGTTTCTAATCAAGAGTAATATGTTGCGGTTAGCTCGCATTTCAGGAAATAAAATATTTTACTAAGATTAATGTTCGATTTACCCAAAAAATATTCAATCAATATTTTCTTTTTTGTTACAATTATGAAAATACTACATACGGTGAATTTCCGGGAAAAGATATTATATATGATACTATCTCTTCGTATTTGTTACACTCTTAAAGGCATTATTTAGAGACAGATATATTTTCAAGGTAAGAGGGCGCAATAGGTTCATGTATAGGTCACACGCGAGATAAAACTTTAACTCTAGCTTATCATCCAATCGAACACAATTTATTAGTTTTCCTTGGAGAAAGCTTGGATCCCGTTTTTTTTTTTTTTCAAGGTAAAAAAATATGTCCCAAATTCGTTGAAAGGATTAATTCTCGGTGAAAATTGAAGGTCACCGGATATGCTAAATGAATGAGATGTAATGTGGGTATTCATGGAATGACGTACTTAGCAATATCTTATAATGTTTTGCGTTATCTCGTGATATTTTTTTTTTATATTTGCCACCTTATTATTATTTTGACCTGATTTTTGGCCTAATTATTCTGTTTTGATAAAAAAAAAATATAGAAATAGTTTTATTTGCATAGCATAGCAAAACCCCGGTATCAACAGAAAGTCTGACTTCCATGCCTGAGCTTTAATTTAATTCGTTGTATAGAGTAGACATCTTCAGACGAATTCTAAAAGTTATTTGCTGTTTTTCAGACACTAACGAGCTACGATATAGAGAAATACAAAGCAAATGAAACTATAAATGGGACAATTGTAACAGTCATAAAGACTATGGTGACAGGAAAAAATCTATCCAGTGCTGATAGCACAAATATTCTAGGTATAGTTCTGCCAAGTTGCTTTGTTTAGTTTTGTTAGATAACATGTGAACAATGTATACATATATATTAACGAATGTGGATTTTTATTTATTTTAAAAAGAAATAAGAGGAAACACAGAAACCATATGGAGTACTGTATTTTACAACTACAATTGTATTTCTAGTCATGTTGACGCGTTCAGTCTACCAACCTTCAGAAGTGATACACTTTACATAAACATACGTTTCAGTGTATACTTAAACAACATGGCAATCACTTAAATAATTACTTTACGATAGGAACATGCCACAACATTCTTGTTCATATCATAGCAATCACATAAAAGAAAGCTGAAACTTTTTTTCATTGTTACATTATAAATTTATACAGCAATTAACTTTAATTTATTTTGATCCATAATTGTGAAAATGTAAGTCAGGTTTTTGTACGTACTTTATATATTATAAGAAACTTTATTTATTTAGGTCTTTTGATTGCCAGTGCCGTATTTGGCATTGCAACTGCGTCAACAAAAGAAATTGGGCAACCTTTTTTCAAGTTCTTCTACTCAGCTACTGAAATCATCTTGGTGATTTTAGGAAAATTAGTTTGGTAAGGATTCAAGAATAATGACACTTAACTCATCATAAAAACCAGGCTCAAAATTATGAACACCAAACGCGCAATTTGCCTTCAAAAGATTCATCAGTGACGCTCAAATCAAAAACGTTTAAAAGGCCATTTTGATGAATGTCCTCTTTTTTATGTTTATTGATACTTTGATACGGTAGCTTGGTTGATGGCATTATGCTGTTTATCGACTTGACCACATTTCAAATTTCAGTCACCGATTTGATAAAAAAATATTTGTTAGGGATATATATTTATTCAAAGTGTAATGTATGAGAAATTGCATCATAAATGTACATTTATATTTGATACCATGTCTGACTTCCGTCAAACTAAATGGTTCTTTATGTGACTGTGGTCGATTTCACGCAAAAATAAATAAAAAGAACCAGTAAATTGAAGGGATCAATTTGTATATTTTCATACAAAGACTATATCATATATTTAATCAGAAGATCAAAAAATGCTCGAAAATTACATAAAAAGGATGATGTTGATGATAGATCTAAAATATTCTGTAGTGAATTAATTCAGAGCTTATGTAGATTCAGTAAAATCTATGATGAACGCGTTTGCATTTTTTATCATATATGTTAACATCTGCATATTTATCTGGTTTGTCTTAGGTTGCATGAGCAGTCTGGTTGCTACCTCATTGGCGTTAACAGATACTTGTGTTATTCGTATAGGGAAGTTTTATTTCAGGTTTACACCAATTGGTGTAGCGAGTCTGATTGGTAAAACTATTGGAGGAACAAAGAACTTGGAGGATGATTTTAATAGACTTGGTTTATACATAGCAACACAAATGATTGGTTATTTACTCTTCATGATAGTAGTAGTGCCAATTACGTATTTTATATTGATGAAAATGAATCCGTTTAAGTTTCTTTTTACTGTGATTCATGCTTTTGTAATAGTGTTTGCTACTTCTATGACGTAAGTACTGAACACTGTGGTAGTAGTACATAAAAAATAAAAATAAGAAGATGTGTTATGATTGCTAATGAGACAATTATCCACAGGTTACCAAATGACACAAAAATTAACAGCTATAGGTCACCGTACGGCCTTCAACAATGAGCAAAACCCATACCGCATAGTCAGCTATAAAAGGCCCCAAAATGACAAATGTAAAACAATTCAAATGAGAAACTAACGGCAAACTTTATGTAAAAAAATGTGAACGAAAAACAAAGATGATACACAGCAACAAATGACAACCACTGAATTACAGGCTCCTAACTTGGGACAGGCACATACAGAATGTGGCGGAGTTAAACTAGTTTTAAAGCACGGTTGCTCGATTGTAATCGTCATACAATACTATTAGTCTTAAATTGTAGATAATAAAAGACAAAGTGAGTGTTGTGGACTAGGATGTGTGTGCACCGACTATAAATATAAAGAAATAGAAAAACTATTCAAAGTAGCATTCATCTAGCTTTAAAAAGAAATCTGTAATACAAATATTCAAAAGAAGTTATCTACAGTATTGTACCATATCCACAAGGCTTAAGATTTATCATAAACATACAACATGGTGGAAATAGTATTTTTCTTGAAAATAAACATTGATGATAAGTGTGAAATATTTCATTAGAAAATGATATAAAGTTGTTTTTCATCAGTTGCACTGTTGCATTTTCAAATATATGAAGCATGCATGTATTATAAACATAACTTTTTCTCGTTTCAGAGCTATGTCTATTCCTGAAAGTATACGGCAATTAGAAGGACCGAACAAATTAGATCGTAGAGTGACTCGATTTGTCATTCCATTAAGTGCTGCTATTGGACGTTGTGGAAGCTGTATTTACATAAGTATATCATGTTTGTTTGTTATGCAAATCACTGACCAGGAAGTGGACGCTGCTTCGGTCATTTTAGTCATGTAAGTTTCTTAATCGTAAAATTTCGTTACATTTATATTGCTATAAGACGTGTCACGGTACCTTTCTATCCAAAATTCATGTATTTAGTTTTGATGTTATATTTGTTATTCTCATTGGATTTTGTCAATGTCTTATCGTTTGTAGTTGTAAATTTTATTTTTTTCTGTTGTATTCGTGTGTTATGGTAAAGATTATTAATCACCCAGTTCGTTAATTAGATTTTAGTTTGGGTCAACTAAATTTATACGATATATTTGGTTTACAGTTTGATTTAGAAGAAACACCGACATATTAATAATACTATTAATTATCTTATTACTACCTCATTTTATATTAATTGGTATTGTAATTTTCATTGTTATTGATAAATGTTATATGAGTAATATAAACCAAATCTTGAATTCTATCCTAATTATATCCTTTTTTGGGGAAATTTCAGAAATTCAAATGTGACGTCACCCTTTTTTGAGCGTTGATCTCTTTGGCTAACTCGGCTGTGAATATTTATGTGCTGGTTTATGTTGTTTATTGTATCCGTTTTTATTCTGTAGTTAGTCACCACTTTGGTGTTATCATGTATACCTATTATATAGTTATTGTTATAAATTTACTGTTTGCAAAAGTATGAATTATCCTATATTCTTAGGATTTTCTTATCCCAGACATATAACCTTAGCCGTATTTGGCACAAATTTTTGGAACTTTGGTCCTCAATGCTCTTCAACTTTGTACTTGTTTTGGCTTTCGTACTTTTTTGATCTGAGCGTCACTGGTTAGTCTTGTGTGGACAAAATGCGCGTCTTGCGTATTGAATTTTAAACCTGGTACCTTTTGTTAGCTATTATTCGTATGTTTCTCTGTCCTATATGTTCTCCCATTTATTTGTATTGTAGTCCTGTCATGTAATGTTGTCATTTTAATGTTATATTTTACATTGCCATAAAAGCGGGAGGTTTGGCTTGCCACAACACCAGGTTCAACCCACCATTTTTTGCTTAAAATGTCCTGTACCAAGTCAAGAAAATGGCCATTGTTATATTATAGTTCGTTTCTGTGTGTGTTACATTTTTATGCTGTGTTTCTGTTGTGTCGTAGTTCTCTTATATTTGATGTGTTGCCCTCAGTTTTAGTTTGTAACCCGGATTTTTTTTTTTCTCAATCGATTTATGAATTTCGAACAGCGGTATAGTACTGTTGCCTTTATTTATACAAGATAAATTTATTTTTGAAAATTGAATTTCATTCATTTATTTTTAATTCCAAAAAATCTTATGTTTAACATGATCATTGAAACAACAAAGTTTTAGTAATTTTGTATTGACATCCAAACAACAAATGATTACTGACAAATAATTTTTTCAGCATTTTAACAACATTTTCGTCCTTGGCCATACCATCTGTGACAGGGGCTAGCTTGATTACTGTTATCATCCTACTCACTGCGTTAAATATTCCACCTGAAGCGGCAGCACTTCTTTACACATTCGAATGGATTCTGTAAGTATATCGTACGATGAAATCCGAATTGTGTCTTATCCTTCGAAAATTTAAATAAGAACCTTTTTTATGCCGGATGGCATGACATGCATGTGTTTGATTAAATGTTTTTTTATTACAAATATAAAGAGGCACATGTTTGAGGTATTAGTGCTGTCATCGTACAATACTTTGAAAATACTGTTCTTGTTTCAGAGATAGGACGAGGACAATTACAAACTACAGCGTACAAGTGACGTGTGTAGTATTTACACAAAGGCTATGTTTATCCTCATTAAAGACTGATTACAACGATGATGAAATATCACAGGCATTAAATGAAAAAGAAAATGGAATTCAAATAGCTGAGATGGTTGACGACGAAGAATATTTCAAAGAGGACACATTTGATGAATGCCTTTGAAATAGCCCAACTCACATTTGTAAATAGCAGTTCTACATAAATATTGAACTGAATATAAGTCTTCATAGGATTTAGCACACCAAGGGTATTTTGTATTTCAGTGTAGTCAATGTATTTTGAAAAAGACAGATATTGCATATTTCTTTACACTAAAAGATCATTGCCTTAAATCATTAAACTCACTAAATCTTCTGTTCATACAGCCCCTTGTATAATTATTGATAAAATAAATTGCACCTCGTTGTATGTTTTATGTAATGTTTAATGTTATGAAACTATATTATGCTTTATATTTAATAAATAATGCAACAATGAAATCAGAAAAGATGTTTAATACTTGACATGTCAAGATATTTATCAGTCATCTTCATTTACAAACCTCATGTAAAAATAAATCTTATAGTCACTTTTCCAAAACAAATCTAGGTCATGTTTTACACTTTCCGATCATGGTTAAACAGAGTTTTTGAAAATGGAATCGTTAATACAAACTCCTTGTTTATAAAGAAGCTCACTGATTCCAACAACAAAATACGCCGATGATTATATCGTCTCAATGCTAGATTTTTTTATCGACAACACATTTGTTGAGTTTGGTCGAGAGATATGTCAGCAACCTGTAAGTATTTCAATGGTACTAATTTTGCAACCCAAATGACCGACTTGTCCTTGGACTTATATATAGCAGACAGAATACAAAACCTTCTAAAAGACAACAAAAAAGATCAAATCTTCTTGCGATGGTCTTTTATTTCACTTTCATATACTAGTATATTGATTATTTCCTGTTACTTGATAACCCATATTTCAGGAACTACTTGCATCACATAAATCCCAGTGAAGGATAGTGCAGAAACCAAAAAAAATGCATCATATAATCATTTTTTCTTCGATATTGACACAGATGGAAGACTTCAAATTAGAGTTTATGACAAACGTGGAGATTTCAACTTTCTAATCTCAAATTTCCATTTCTCTCAACAGTTACATACACTCTGTCTTATTGCATGGCGCTTGCATATCTCAATTAATAAGTTACGCTTGTCGTGAATGTTTACACTATACATTTCCATGAAAGGGGTATACACAAAAACTGCTCCAAGAGAGTTATGAGGAAGAACGAATGAATTCCATAATACAAAAGTTTAAACAATCACCGATGTCTGTGTATCCGCTCAAAAGCGACATGTCTTCGCGCCCTTATATCTTTAGATACCATTATAGTCGTCTAATCAGTTACTTAATCGATTGCGTTTAATTCCTGATACTTTGACGGAGTGTGGATTCGCATGGTAGGTGATGCATGCATAGCCGGAGATGCTTAATAGCGCCCTTTTGGGTTCATTCGATTCCCTCTGTTTTTATTTGTTACCTTGATTTGTATTTTCTTAATCGATTTGCGAGATTTGAACATCGGTAAACTTCTGTCGCCGTGATCAACCATGTAGACGCACCCGGTTTCGCAACATTTAGGATAATCATTCAAAATGATACAAAAAAAAACTTTGTGTGATAAAATGCTGTTTGTTCAGTGAAAAGAACACTTAAGCTGTATGTGTCTACTGTAATCGAATTTCGGAAAAAATATTTCACGGCTATTTTAAAGATGGTTGTGCCAGTATTTTGTTTCAAATACTGTATATAACACTTTTGGGAAAACCTTTTTAATCTCACGCTAATGTTGACTGGTAGTTCATAGTTTTGATCATAGTGTGGTGATGAAACGGGAAAAAAAGAAGGAAGTGTCAATCAAAGCAATTTTACAATCAAAAACAAAAAAAAGGAAACATATCACAGGGCTTGTGTATGTTGTGTATCTTTCAATTTAACGGTTAATGCAGCAGCAATATTTTACGGTATATTTGTAATGTTTATTCTATCTCATGAAACATTTTATAAACGAACAAAAGTCACATATTTGTTTTCAAAGTAATGACTGTACCATAGCGGATTCAATCTTAATGTATATTGTGTATCCTTTATATGAAAAAGGATGAAATTTGACACACAGTTTTAAAACGAATAACCGACACCTTTTCTCATTCAACGAATGAAGTTCTTAAAATGTATTAATTATATATAAAGCGGTCTTAGTCCAACATTTTAATTGATGAAACACATGCATACCGACTGTTCTTAAGTTTTTTTTAACATGGCAGTAGGAAAAGAAAAATGCTTGGAGATTGTTAAAGTAAACTTGCTTGTACTTTTGACCTTAGTGGTAGCTTCAGTTGGATTTATTATAGGCGTGGTTGTTCGGAATACAAACCCAACAGACAGTACTCATGTGGGTTGGTAAGTATATAATAGAAGATATTTTTTTTATGCTTTTATGCTAATCAAAGCATAAAAAAAAAAACAAACAAGTTCAAATAAAAGTTTTAATTTTTAAACCTAGCATAGAAGGCGCATAATTGATTAGATGTGCTAATTACCAAATTGGACGTAAAAAGGTAATACACGTGTACGTTGTATCTTGATCAAAATTGATGCACTGTACAGTTAAGCGATATCTTGAATCTCCTAGAAACTTTATCCATTAATAGCATAAAAAAGATTTCTAGTTCGGATTGCTTTGGATCCATAAATTCCAGAAATTCTTCAGGTTTCAGAGGAGAAGAGTTTTAAATTTTGGCCAATCGGAATCTAAGATTGCCTTTGGCGGCCATGTATTTCATGGAATCAGACTCAAATAATATCACAACCGGTAACCGCTAATATATAATTACCGTTATGTTTGGTTGAAATTGACCGTAAAGTTTCAGAAAAAAGATGAAAATTGAGATTTCCCACAATTTGTTAATGAAAACTATGGCCACAATTGCCACAATGTTTGCAACCAGATCAAGCTGTATGATATTTTCTAGGCAGTACTGTACTGTTCAACTAAGAATTATAGGCTGAAGTAAAAGGCTTTTTTACTTTGAAGAAACTAAATTGTGACTCTTGGTCCCACTTTATTAAAATATAAAATATAAATGGTCAGTACTATTTTTTTTTCAGAAAGATTATTTAAATTGTAAACTGTTACAGAATGTTTTGTTGCATTAAACATTGTTAGAAGTAGTTAAAAAATCCATTAGGAGTGATCCCATATCGCATTATAAAAATAACAAACTGAAAGTATAAATTTCATCAGCCAGAGCTAATTTATATCAATTCAGCTAGGTTTCTAGATCTAATTTTTACCAATTTTTTGTCTTTTTTTTTTAACCTGTAATCCTTCTCTGAAAAGTAGGGAAGTATCTCTTCTTAATATTATAATAACATAGTTGTTAATCGCCTTTCTTTTATTTTCCTCTTGATTTTTGTAAAATAAACTCCTTTTTATTCATTTTGGTAGGTTTTTATTTTTGACTGGTGATATCAAGGGGAGATAACCACTTGCACAAATCGGCAAAAAAAAAAACAACGCTTCGTGTTGAACATAACTTGACGTTTGCGTATCCAAAACTGTATTGCCTAGATATTCATATCGTGAGTTTGTCTTAATGAGATGCTGTATTAAATTTAAATTCAGCCCATCATTTTCAGTTTCCTCAAAAATATTTAGATTTTTCGATCAGAAGCCTTGACAATTTTCACACAAACTTCAAGTTTGAAGATAAAATAAAGAATAAAGGACTTTGAGTTGATGTGTAAGTTTTGACGAGTTCAAACTATGTATATTCAAGATTATTTTGATCAATAAGTTTTTACCATGACAGTGGTATTTAAGTGAGTAAAAGTGAGGTTTGTCTCATCCGTAGTTTTACTTAATTTTCATGGTCACGTGACTCTATTGTTGCTGATAGACTTGGGGTCAAACCGTGTAACAGTATACAATTTAAATAATCTTTCTGAAAAAAAAAATAGTACTGACCATTTATATTTTAATAAAGTGGGACCAAGAGTCCCAATTTAGTTTCTTCAAAGTAAAAAAGCCTTTTACTTCAGCCTATAATTCTTAGTTGAACAGTACAGTACTGCCTAGAAAATATCATACAGAAAAAGGAAAAGTTTACCAAAAAATGACAAAAATTCTGTAAAAAAATAATGCTTAAAATTATAAGTGAAAGTCATTATTATAAAATTCAACTATTAGATTAGCTAGCACAGTAGCCCTTGTCCAATTTCTCAGGGTACTTTATAGTTTAAGAAAGTAAACTTTTTGAAGAAAAAAAATGGGGCTTCTTCTCTTCAGGTTGCTGTATCTGTAGTCCAAATAATTATGACGTCTTGAAAGGCTATTATATTTTTTTTCTTTGACGCCTTACATTGTCTTGAAAGGCTATTATATTTTTTTTCTTTGACGCCTTACATCGTCGATGTAAGGCGTCAAAGAAAAAAATATAATAGCCTTTCAAGACGTCATAATTATTTGGACTACTGTATCTGCTGCTTTACATATTTATGAACAAAGTATTGTATATTTTACCTCAATAGTTGGATATTAATCTCAGAAATGAAAGTTGGTATGACAAATCTTGTGCATTTTACTTTAATAATCTCAATGATGATTAAATTTTACAAAAAATTGCCATTTGAATAAATTCAATTTTGTAAGAACACATCTCTATGAATTAATTTCTTGTTTGACTTGAAAAGCTAGTGTTTGCTCTTATTAATGTAGCTTACTTAGTAAAGAGATAATTAATAAGCAAGGTTTTCAACTTATAAAATATAAATATAATTAACTGACCTTCATTTCATGTTTTTTCCTCCAGAAATTTTCTTTGCAATGCATTTTCTATTGCTATTTTTGTGCTTTTGTTTACCCATAGGCCATCATTAATTTGTCATATTTGCTTCCAGTATAAATGAAATTTTCTGTGACCTATAGTTTCAAACGCCATATTGATGATAAAGAAGAACTTTGTGTGTTGTTTCACTTGTCCAATGTGTAAATTTTCACTATGCACATGACCCTGACACATATTTTGTAAACGTTATATGACGTATGTTGAAAAAGAAAACAATGTCACCGTCAATTTGTGTAGGGGATCAAAAAGGGTTTTAATTTCTTTAAAATGGAAGTATCGTATGGAAATGTGAAAAACAACAATTTTTAATCACAATTTCATTCATATCTATAATAAAATCAATATTTTAGAGTACTTTGGAAACAGGTACAATGAAAAGGAGTTGAACTTTGCTGTTTTGAAGTAGAAACGCAGCCAAAACCAGGTACAAATTGACATGACTGGTGGTCACC